GAGAAGTATCTTTGCTCTTGGCTTACTGTTGTACAGACCCAGCACTGGTTAAAGCTAAATAGCTCAGTTTAACTGAGGCTTTGAAGCAGGAAATGACTCTTCACTGCCAAGGTGTCTGCCTCTCAACTAGCTTCCATGCACATTGTATCACTTAACATTAGTCCTGTCATTTTGCAAGGGTAGGTCCCTCTAAAAATAAATTAGTTTGCTAGAAGCCATTTATATCCCCTTTGATTTAAATAGAAAGATCTAAATAAGGATTAACAAGGATATTCTGGAGGAAATTTGGTTAACTGAGAGGAACACTCTCCAATTTAACTGAGTCTAACCACTGCCTGTAGCAAGTGACTCCATTTTGGAATTCTGTCAGAAGACACAGTAATAAAATGCAGTCCTTCCGGGGAGTCTAGAAGATGTTGGATCACATAATTGGCTTAGATTAAGTCCCCTCTTGTGCTACTCCAGCAGCATAAGGAAGACTTAAAATTGCTAGAAAACAGGACTTAAAGTTCCCCATCACAAGAGAAACTCCTGATTGACACAATGGGCATGTCCAGATGAATGCATACATGTGTTTTCCCCGGGACAAACAGCAGCAGCACATAGTTGTGCCACTGCTACTTGTCCCTGGGGAAAGCCCATACACACACACACTTTGGTGTGCAGCAAGTTGCCCTGGGTGGGGTAGGGGAGGCTGGGGCCAGTTCCTGGGTTAGCCCCAGAAGCCTTACCTGGGATCCTGGAGGCCTCCTGGAGCTCCAGCGGCAGTGTTCCAGGCACGTGGAGCCTGGCTGGCAGCTGGAGCTTCAATCTGGCCAGCCAGGCTCCGGTTTCAAGTGGTGCATGCTGCCACATGTGCCACCCCACTTTTTTTGGCATGTTTTTTTTTTTTTTGACACTGGGATCTCCCAGTGTCAAAAAACCCCACCATGATGCAAATTAGCAGCATGGTGAATGCTTGTGTGTGTGGTATGTGCAGTTTGTGGCATTGCAGACAGGTCTGCAGCACCACAGACCACTTGTGCACTCAATAGGTATATAACCAAATTAGATGCTGCGTATTTTTACCCAGTCCGTGCAGGACATACTTCAAGGTGTGCTAGAGCCATGAAAGGGTATGGCTGGGGTTTGCTGTACTGCAGCAATATCAAGCTGCCAGAATAGTACCTCTGGGACCACTGCAGGCAGATGATTAAAGCAGCACTGTACCTCTTTGACCTTTCATTGTTTTAAATTGCAGCGTACCTATTCTACCTTGCATAAGATCAGGGGAAGGCTGAATTAGACCCATATTTGACCCCAGCTACAGGTTTACTGACAAGAGCTTAGTGGAGCTGAGAATCATGTCCACTATGTAAAGAAATGGAAAACAGACAGATCTTAGTTAATGACCATCCAGATACTTTACCATGTGAACCATATCTTTAAATATACCTTTTTAAGTCCAGTACATCTACCATACATGAAGAGTTAGGCTAGAGCAACAAAAAGTTGTTACAGTTAATTTTTAATTCAGGTCTAAATGTACTGTTTTTAGGAACAGGATTAGTTGAAAATGTCCATATTATGTCATAGCAAAACACTTAGGACCAAAGCCTACATTTGACCTGCAACTGGGGACATAGGCGATGCATAGGGGGTGCATGGGGGTGCCTGTGCACCCCCTAAGAGCACTGGTGCCCCCCCTGAGAGTGAGCACTCTCGGCTTAGGCAATGGGAAGTGGGGGCAGGCAGAGCACTGGCGACCCCCGACCTGAGAAGTGCCGCGTTGCCACCTGTGGGTGGTCACTGTGCCCCCCCAGCCTCAGGAGGCACGCGTTGCCTATGATTGGGAAGAAATATTCAGGGGAAAAAAATGAAGTCAGCTTGTTGTTAAGGCAAATTTAATCGATTTCCCACCAATTCCTTTTCTCTTTTCAGGAGAGCCTCTTCTTTCTCAATAACTCTAATGCTCTCTTATGCATGCAAATGTTTCAGCAACAGAATACAGTACATGCCTTAGCTTATATGGTTACCTTGTTTAAAGTGAACTATCAACAGTGTTATGGTCTAGGGACAAAGTACATCTCTTTGCAGAGGGCTAGCACAGGTTTTAAACAACACAAATCTCGCTTGAGCCATATTTTTAAGGCTCATGGTTCACAGAAGTTGTGTTGGTCATAGGCAAAGGAGTGAGTCTAGGGTAGTGACAATAAAATCAGTGGTAAAAATATATATGCAAATTATATATATGGAATACATATATAAATTACTATGTCAGTAACATTTTCCTATGCCCCCTCTTTTTATTTTCTTTCATTTGCATTTCTCGGACTCTCTTTATTCTGTGCATTTTAATGTATAATTTTGGTCTCTCCATATTGTACATTGTGGGTACAGTGGCCTAGTAAATCTGTTTAAACACAGCAAATGCCAGAGGATGAATAGAAGCTAATTTTTACTTGCAGAAAGAATGGGCCAAGTTAGTGGCAGCTGCTGATAATTTTGCATATACATTTGTGGCCTGCACAGAAATGCATGCACATGTGCGAAGACAACACCTGAACATTTTAAAACAAAACTAAACAAAAACAAAACAAGAATTCAGTGGCACTTGTCCTGTATGCTGAAACAGCAAAGTAGTTTCATGGTTGAACAAGAGCAAATATGCAGTTTCTAAACCTGGGGAAATGTCAGTTTGATCAAGATACTAAGAAAGAATTATCCTGCACAGCAACAACAACAAAAGCCACCCATAGAAACCCACAAAACCCAAGAGAAGGTTCATAAAGTTTTTAATAAATATCCTCACCAAAAGAATCTCCTGGTTACTCCTTTCCTGGTTACCTATACTTTTGTTTTTATAAAAAATATATTTGATTAATAAATGCTTTTTATATTGTTATTATATTTATTCTATTGAAAATATATTTTCAGAAGTGTGATAAACCTGGAAATTAATTTCCATGAAACATATTCAGGTCAGTGTATATGTAACATGCAACTTTGCACCCACGCTACCAGGAATAACAAACGTGCATATGACAGCAAGAACGCACTCTTATGGTTAGGTTTCATTCTGGATAACTTCTGAAACCCTTTTAACAAGTAACCAATGCCCAGATCCTCATTAATATTTTTAAAGAGAACCCTTTCCCCAAATGGCACCCTGGTGGAGATGGAAGCAAAGGCAGATAAAATGGAAAGCAAAGCAGTAAAGGGGAAAAAAAATCAACTTTAAGGTTTGTGTCTGAAGTTCTTATTCCAAACTATTTAAACATATATGATTTTCTTTCCATAAGAGAACTCTCATTAAGAAAAAAAACATGAAAATATAGAATTTGTGCAGAAATTTACAAGGGACAGCCTCATAGAGTATATCTAAAGCTGGTTAGGTCTCTAAAGGGCCCTGATCCTGTAATAATGTATGCTCAGGATTAGTTGGATTGAATTCAGTGGGTCTGCACATGTGCTTAAAGTTATTCAAGATTGGGATCACAGTTCTTAAAATGTGCTTGTCAAATTAGCATCTGTACCTTAAAAAAATCTGTTCTGGATCTGAAAAAACTGTCTTCTGGAATTAAAAAAACCTCCAACAATTGAAGAAAGGAAAACATTCAGTTCACCAGTGTTACGCCATTTAAATCAGTGGAGTTACATCAGCATTAAAATGAAGTAACAATAGTGAATCAGGACTAGTGTGTCTTAGTCTGTGAAACTGGTTAGCAGTATAAACCTTTTTAAACCTCCTCCTGCTCTTCCTTCTCTGCCTCCCATATACAACATCAGCCTTTTTTTCAGCATCAAGAAGTATGCTTTGCTTTTAAAGTTGAAATTAAACAGAGTAATGATGACTTAAAATGAATGATGACTATTTAGACTGGTTGATTGGTTTTGAAGTATACACATATTTTACTTAATTGCCCAAATGCATTTTTAAACTGAAAATTAATGTTCAAGTATGCCCTGGGTTCACATAACTTCAGAAAAATGGTGTAAAAATTAACACAACCATCTGCACCCAGTTTACATGTGACATGCGTGTAAATCTATGCATGACTTTCAGAGCGTATGCAGACATACACTCATTTCCCAGTTAATGGTAGCGCATAACTCATGCAGTATCCTGGAAATGTAATCCAGCATATAAGTTGTCTGAATAGAGCATGAAAGCTTTAAATCTTATAGAGGTACAAATATCATGTCAGGCCTTTGCAGTCATGTTCTTGCATGTAAATATGGCTATTGAATAGTTCTAAAGATAATTATATTATATGCCAGTTAAATATTGGTACTAAATGAAGACTAGCTATTTAATAACTAGAGCTCCATTCTATTACAGTCAGCTTTTTATTTCTAAAAGCAAACAGTTAAAAGTAGACTCAAGGCAACATATTACACTGCCATCCTATGCCTCCCTCTCTGCGGTGTATAATGTAACTAGTGCCACACAGTGTAACTTACACTACTGATAACATAGTGTTTGTACCACTGCTTTCTAGTGGATGGTATGGTAGACCTGCTTGCGTGTGAGTGATCTCCTCATTCTTTAATGGCTGGCCACAGAAGCTATATTAGTCCGGAAATGACTAGAGTTAACAGAGCTCCTTTAGTTCAACTAGTAGATGCCTGTAGTTTTGGAGCAGAAAACTCTATGTGACCACACTGTGTAGTATAGGTGGCAAGTGTAAGTATATAGGGACCTACTCAACCTGCAATTTCACAGATTTATGGCAATCAAGAAATTAGGTGATCTCTGTGAAATCCATGTGGAAAAAAAACATACTAAAAATAAAATGCTGGCTCCCCAGTGGGAGCCAGCAGTCCTCCCAGCCATGCAGCCCAGCACGAAGCAGGCTGATGGCACAGAAGTGAGCAGGCAAGAGGGCTGCCTGTTGTGTGGCCCTGCCCCATTTCACCAATCAGTGGTGAGGGGCAGGGCCGCATGATAAACAGCCCCCTCCACCAATCAGCAACGGGGGGGCAGAGCCACTGGGGCCCCTTGGCCAATCAGAGGTGGGGGATGGGGGGCAGCCACAATAAGTCCATGAAAATGGCAGCCAGCCCCATGATTTGCCTGCAAAATCAGATGGCCACTGCCTTGAGTTGGATAGATCTCTAAGTATACGTGGTTAAGGAATTGTTACAATAGCTTTTCAGGAGTAAACTACCATGTGATAGAGACAAATACTGAGTATTAAAAAGGGCAAAAAAAGGGTGAAACATCCTCAGAATGAATGAATGTTGCAACTTTATGAAAGATAAAAGAATGTTGAGTGATAATAGAAATAAATTTAAATTCAGGGCCTCAAGAAATTTTAAAACGTAATGCTTTCTAACCCCTTTCTCAATTATGCAGGCAATAAGAAATCACTACAGGAACTCAGTCACTTCTGCAAAGAATTCTAACACATTTCAGGCACCAGCTTACCAGCATTATTACAAAGTAAGGTAACAATAGGACCCATATATTTGGATTTAGTTAAGGGGTAAAATAAATATTTATGTCAAACTTTTTTTGATTGCACATTTGATATTGGAAGTTACATGATCACAGAACATGAAAGAAGTCAAATACTTTTTGATCTACCATCACACTCTAAATACATCAATAAAGAAGCCACACCAGGCCAAATAGCTGCTACTATCAAAGAAATCCATGAAAGTTTCCCAAATACTGTTATACAAAGTTACACATCCATGCTGAGTTATTCACCAGTGCGTAGCAACAGTCTTGCAGTGGGCCAGGATTTCATTGGCAGGTAACTGATGGAGGATCTATGCAGTGTGGTTAAAAATTCCAGGCTGGAAGCATTAAAATAAAAGTATGTTTATAGTCTGAACAGGAGACTGCAGTTCTGGAAACTGGAAGGAGCAGAAGGGAGGGATGAGAATATTTTTCATTTTAGAAATGCTGAGGCACAAAACACAGTTGCTTCTAGTAGTTTCATACATGAAATCCTTTCTCCTGTATGTGCATCATGTGCAATCGTAAAGTCTGTAAACTGCTCACTATTCGTCTCTGGTGTCCAATGAGCACAACTCCAATTCTTCTAATGTCACTGTAAAGAGAAAAAATGCAAGATTCATCCTGAATGTATGAAAAGCCAAGCCTTTAGTACTGCTCCCGAGGCTGAGCACCTAGCAGAGTTCTTCAGAATTCTTTACATTTCTCAGCTGGAATATGCAAGAATACTGCACATTTTCAAGCTTTCAAAGGCACATTTGCCCCCTCTGGGTTAGTACAGACAGCCATTTAGGAAAAAATAATCTTGTGTCTGTGACACTGGTATATGCTTACACAATTTAAGGTCGAATCTTTCTCCCCAGCTCCAAAGAAATTCCTGAGCAGCAGTCAGGGAAAAGGGACAATCCCATGGCCGTGAGAGGGAAGCAATTCTTCCCATCCGTGCTGCAGAGGCAAGCAGAGCTGCTTCGTGTTTCCATGTTGTGGCTTAGAGACTGAAGTGGCTGCTGCTGCACTTTCAGTGCTTTGGGTAGCAGTAGAGCTTCCTAGATTTGCACTGGGAGACTGTGTGTGTGTGTCTGCATGTAGGAGGAATGATATTTGACCTTTTAGGCTATGTACAGACATTCAAAAAGCCTGAGGTGGAATAAATTTAAGTTACACAGTTTTCTCTAAGTGGCATAGTTTAGATTGGTAGTGAACAAAATACATATTCACTAGGGCTGTGTGAAATTTCGCTTGGTATTTCATTTCAAAGCTGCTTCAATGTGTTTTGAGCTTGAAACAGCAAAATCGAAACCAAACAAAAGCCTTCAAAACAGCTTTGAAATGAAACAAGGGCACTTGAAATGTTTTGAAAGTTTCGAGACATTTCGAGTTTTGAAGCCAGGCTTACATGGCTTCAGCGCTGGTTCCAGCCGGCAGTCTCCTATCATCCAGCAGGCGGATCGGGGGGATGCCCACACCCCCCGGGAGGGCTGCGGGGTTGTGCCGGACTCCTCCCAGTGGTGTGGGTCCCCATCTGCCTGCTGGATGACAGGAGGCTGCTCCTGCCACCTGGGATAGCGCTTGGTGCAGCCTGCACCCAGTCCTGGGAAGATCGGTGCTGCCACTGGCCCCAGCCAGCAGCACCAGCCTCCTGTCATCTGGCAACTGAATATATTATACAACTGAATAGGATATGGCTACTTTATATTCCAGACATGTTACATCTTGCATGGCAAAATAGAAAATCAGAAACCAATAGCAACAGTCATTATTAGTCATTAAAAGCATTCTCCTGCACCCACTGAAATTAATGGCAAAGCTCTGGTTAACTTATATGGAGCAGGATCAAGCACTGAGTGCCAACAGCGCATTTGGCAGTGCACAGAACAACAACAAGAAAAAATATATAACTAACTTGCACTACAGTATATGGGCTTGATCCTACTGACAGAAGAATAGACAACATTTTTCCCACTGAGTTCACCAGGTTCCCTATTCAAGACAGCTTAAGCATGTGAATTGTCTGACAGACTTCTGTGGTGACACAGAAAGCATGAGGCAGAACCAGGAACTGACACCAGGTCCTCTGTCTTCCTTGACTGCAATCTTGTCCTTCCTCTTCATGTGTTGTTTAAAATTATGTTTTTCTTTTATTAACTGCAGCAGAAGAGTTAAAACATACTTCTGTTCCATGCCTTAGTACTTATATAAGCTCCATCACAGCATCATTTTTTCCAATTGTAGTTTACTCACTGTAGAGAGAGTCATGTACATACTTACTCAATACTCATTCTTGAAACCATATCCAAAGTTGTGAAACCTCCAGCCATGAAGTTATTCTTATACTGACCCATTTTTATTGAGTCCAGCCAATCACTGACTGAAACAAACAAAGGATATTCTGGAACTTCACCAGGTGAATCTGGCATTCTATGGAAAGAAAATGTAAAAAGTTGTAAAGAAATATAAAAGTAATGTCAGATTTAATTTACTAGAGCTATTTTTTGTACTAAAGTGATGACCGGACTAAGTAAAAAACCCAAGCTAGAAAGCTCAGATCCAGGACTGAAATTCTCTTTAGAGTTTCAGAAAAACCCCCAGATCTTGCACTTTGATTTTAGCTCATTCTCTAAAATGTATGTGTCATATTTCAGCATGCAAAGTTATTTTTGATACTACTTCTAAAAACCAATGGCTTCAATGGGAGCTTTATTTGCTTTTGAAGCTCAGAAATGGTCCTATCCATGTTGTTATTATTTTGAAATATAAAGACAGAATATTCCTCTGAAGAACTTACACTTACAGGATGAAGATGACACCATAATTTCCAAACTCAATAAAGCAAGTCAGAGAGAATAAGAGGACAATTTAATCTTGGATATTATGGGAAAATAGCACAGATGGAATGCAAAAGTATTAATACCCTGGCTAGGTAATAACTTTCATATTTATCTATACAGAAAATTGCTGAAAAAGGGAATGGCTGTTTACTGTCACATTAGGCAATAGAAATCTTTCTAAATTTCTAATGCTTTAGATTGCAGCGGTGCAATCTAACAGCAGCAATACTAAACTTAAAATGGGAATAAAAACTATATTTAATACCCTTGTTTTCATGTGATTATAGAAGTAAGCAAAATAAAAGGATACAACTAACTTAATTAGTCTTCTCTTTCTTTTTACGTGCTATTGCTGAACTAAAACAGAGAGAGAAGACAAAAAATCCCATAATATATTCTATATTTTTTTCTGTTTTTACTTATACTTCCCCCTGTTTGGGATGAGGACTGCTCACCACTCCCACTGAACTTCATGCACTTGGTGTAGGGTAGAGGAACTGTTTCATAAGTGTTATCTGTTATTTGCCTTGCCTGTGTCCATTTTTCATACAGAAGCACTTCAGCAACATAAAATGTTTTATCAAATAAGCAAATGCATCATAAAGCCACAAACATGGGTAGGGAGACTCAGAAGCACGTGCAACAACCTGACATTATTTTTTATTGCTTTTGAAAACTGACTAGATTTCAAGTTGAAATTGTCCCTTTAATATTGGAAATCATTCGCTACATGACTACACTTAGCAGCATCAGTGTTTTGTTTGTAAAGACCCCTTTTATACATCATTTCGAGGATGTATTTTGTAAAACAAACATGTGATCATTTTTAAGTGCCTTGGAGTACTAGATTAAGAAAAAACATGTTTTGATTGCAATGGTGCAGTCTATAGAGAAATATTTTATTAGTGCCAATAAGGGTGGCAGAATCTGTCCCAAGAAGAGCAGGAAGTAGAAAGCAGTTCATCCTGCTACATTAATCTGCTAAGGTTCCATTCATCTGTATTAGAATACATTAGATATACTAAACTTTTATCCCAACATTAAAAAGATGCCAGAGGGTAGAAAGAGAGAATAAAGAACATAAAATGATTGGCTATTAAAAATCCATTTGAGCCAATTAAAAATGAACAAACACTAGAGGTCCTTGGTACTAAAAAGTGTGTGTTAATTTTAATTTAGTGTTTGAGGTTCTCTAAATTTCCAACTCTCATCTCACACAAAGTTTATATTACTAAAATACTAGGTATTTCAGATTTATATAAACAAAACTGAAAGGATTATCAGGCCAACATCTTGCATGGAAGATGCCAATATTTTTAGAAAGAAAGCAACACATTCATTGGGTAGGGCTAGGAGAAATAAGGGAGATTTTAATTCTATCTATATTTAAATGTATGCCCAAACTTCAAGTAAAACTGATTTTTAACAATTGCTGCTTTCTCTTCAGTTGGAGATAATTAGTTCTCAACACAACATCAATTCTTGAATGACATTTATTTCTTATGACGTTGGACTAATATATTTTTAACAGAAGACTGGGACAAATTAATCCCTAGGGTAATACTACTGACATCACTGAAATTATAACTGGTTTGGATTTTGCCTATTGAGTCTTTTCTTATAAAATAGACTTCATAGGTTAAAAACAGCCACCAAATATAACCATGCTGCCTAACTGCATTAAACAGAGAGGAGTACTAATACATTCAGAAATCAAATTTGCTGAAGCACAACACCAAAGCTCAATGGAATAGACATGAGTCTTTCAATCTAAATTCAGTGTTTTAAAATATACATAAATAAAATAAAATATTAAATAAATAAATATAAAATAATTACTCCCTTGTGCCAAATAAAACTATTCCAGTTGCTATTAACAACTCAGAGGAACACTTACCCCTCAATGTACAAATGCAGATTATGTATCCTGTGTGTGGGGCACTAAGCTGGTGAAAGGTCATGGAATTCTGGACATGTTCAGGGGCTTCAGTATCTAGACTCATTTAACACTGAGTCTATCCCAAGGCTAAGGGATATAGACAAATAAACGAAGGAGGACAATGTTTGTGATAAATTAGCAAACATTTTGAGATGGCCATATGGTTATCAAACCAGAAAATCCTGAGCTATTCCTGGAAAATTATAATCCACAAGAATGTTGAAGACACCCTGAGCAATTGGTATACATAGTGTAAGAACTCAGTTCTGTCAGAGACTTTGAACTATGAGACCCTGATTCCTTGCTACACTTCTGTGTAGTGGTTTGGGGGTTCTCTTTAAACCCAAAACAAGCCTCCTTCAATGCTGGCTGTGCAAAAGTATGATATGAAGACATCAAATGATGAAGATCATGTTGTATTGTGCTAAACAGGTAACTTGTTGCATCAAAGGCAATGTATTGTACTGAATACAGACAGCTGCTCTGCCTTGGAACAGTGTTTGATTCCTTGATGAAAGACCATCACTAATAGCAGTCTGAGGCTATCAACTCTGAATGACTTTTAACTGCTGGCTTGCCCCCATGGAACAATAATACTTCAATGCAGAGCCTTACAAAGGGAACTAAGCATGACTAGCAAATCTGGAGTTTCTTCCCTGGCTCAGAGAGAGAAGCCCTATTTAAGACCACGTGCCTGTGCACACCACGGGTTTTAATCGTTATTAAATCACAGCCATAAATTGCTAGAGAGTAAGTTTAGGCTACACATTAGAAGGCACTGCTTCACAGTCAGGGTGGCTAGGATCTGGAACCAACTTCCAAGGGAAGTGGTGATGGCTCCTACCCTGGGGATCTTTAAGAGGAGGCTCAACGTTTACCTGGCTGGGGTCATTTGAGCCCAGTTTTCTCTCCTGCGTACGGCAGGGGGTTGGACTAGAAGATCTACAAGGTCCCTTCCGACCCTACATCTATGAATCTATGAATAAATTAAATAGGTTTATAAAATTTAAACTTGTTTATTTTGGAGCATTGCATCTGTGTTTCCATGCATTAGGTTTTTGAACAAATTAAGCCCTGGAGCATTGCATCTGTGTTTACATGCACTAGGTTTTCAAACGAATTAAGCCCAGTCCCCAGCTGGCACCACAGGAGACCAGGATGGTCCAGCACTGCCGCCCGGCCTGGGGCACCCCACCCACCCTGTGCCCATGCCCTGCCACACAGCTGTGGAAGCAGGGAGCTGGCAAACTGCACAAGCAAAATAAAAGCGGAAACCGTTCGAAAGCGAAAGCAATTCAAGAGAGTGAACTACAAAAAAGTTGCAGTGCCCTCTGGTGGACAAAGAGACTCATTACACATCTTTAAGTGCCTTTGTGTTTGCATGCAATGGATCCATGGATGCAACACATTAGTTCCCGGTGAGCCAAACTAAACTACATCCAAGGAGTTTGAGTTAATGTATCAGAAAGACTTTTCAAATGTCCGGAAAACCCGCTTGTGCAAACGGTCATGCAGTGGCAGTGCAAGGAAGGGCAAAAAATGTTGTATGTATAAAGGATTCTGCTCTGTGCTAGGGTGTGATCATTACTACATGTAAGCAGAGCTTACAGGACAGAGAATGCAGTATGAACTCTACCAAACCTCAAATGCTGGTGAACCATGGACTCACAAGAGGGGTAAGAGCAGACTAGGGGAGCATGCAGCTCAAGACCTTCATTGTTTTCAAAGATGCTGTATGACTAAAATTAACATGATTAAAAAATTCCTGAACCATGGCTTGGTTCCTCACTTTTCTAACACACTGACTTCAGTGTGGGCTAAATGATTAAGCTTGGCAGGTCTACAACACAGGTGGAATTCTAGTGGAATATGCCTAAGCAAGCTGGGGTCTTAGGAGGTCTCCTACTGGTTTCAAGATCTAGGATGACTGGATGGCAGCATCCCATATCCCAAGGAAGGTCTCAGACATAGCTCTGTGTCTGGGAGTATGACTTCCAGCCCCACAGTTAGAAACAGTGACTGCATTCTACCCAGGCTTAGCTGGCTTGGAAACACATAGGACTCAGTGACTGGGTCTGCTCACAATGGACTAATAATTCTATACTGTCTCAACTCTGACACTAACCTTAGAATATAGTCAAGGGCTATCCACAAGCTCCAACTCTACCCTTAGCTCTTATCCAGATATGCCAAATCATTCCAAAACTAGCCTTTCTTAGCAAAGGGCCACTAAAACTCTCCCACACTAACCAGTCCTAAATGTCATATAAGCCTCTGGTGACTACATAGCCTACATCCCTACCTCCAGTCAGCCATGATAAATCACCAGGCATAGTCTTTACTTTACCTCTCTGACCTTTCAGAACCTCATTGTAGGGTTTAAATATACAGAAGGCTCTTTGCACTGCAGTGAATTTTTCCCTTAATGAACCCCCTGGGCCAAAATCAGTACTGATGTAACATCACTTATTTCACCTTATGCCTGGCATGAGAATGGGTAAGTACACTGACAATCGCTTCTTCCATGGCTCTGCACCTACTGCTCCATTAATTTCTGCAACATTACTTTGAGCTGGGGGAGGAAGCTTCTGATAACACCTCAAGGAATCTGTTGTGGAATGATAGTGCCATTATTTTGCATATCATCTTTTTTCCATTGCGGTGAATGTAGCTCAGCAGGCCTGGGGTATATGCATGTTGCAGGAAAGTAAACTAAGACAGTTCACAAACTGATCGTGTGTTGTCTGCAGTTTCAAAACCACTGAAGACAAAATAAATTTACAGAGGGAAAAGGCGTGTAAAACAAAAAGTGAACAAACAGACAAGAAAACAAACAAAACAAACAGATAAAAATGCCAGACAAAGAAAAGAAAAATGACTAGGAATGTAATCCATATGCTTTTGGGTGGGGGGAATTTATTCTTTTAATAATAAAAATCACCTTATAAGAGCTTCAATTTATTTTTAGCACCCGTGCAGAACTTTGCCAGATTTTTCCACCCCACCTAATCTGGTATTTTAACTGATAGTAGCCATTATGATTGTGTAAGGAAAGAGCGAGTCTTACACAAGTACATCTTCCACCAGGGTATGAAGGGTGCTTGGATTGCGGATCAGCTTGTCTAGGAAGCTGACGATATCACTGAACTTCGGCCGGTGGTTTCTCTCTTTCTGCCAGCAGTGAAGCATCAGCTGGTGAAGGGAAGCTGGGCAACCCATGGGAGCTGGAAGCCTGTAACCTTCTTCTATAGACAGTATAACCTAGATAGAGGTATGTGTGTCATTACAGGGCATTATATTTACATGACTGAAGTACAGAATAAAACCAAGTATACATTCTAATGACAAACCAATAACAAAGACAGATAATTAGGTCTCTTAGTCTGAAGTCAGGGAGAGGGCAGGGTAGATTTGTACCTTACCAGCTAATTAAATCAGAGCTGTATAGCACCACGTTTCATAAGCAGAGGACTTGCTTCATCAGATGAAGTAATTTACTTCTGATGAAGTAAGCTCTCTGCTTACAAAAGCTTACAACCCAAGAACAACCCCCCCCCCCACACACACATTGTAGCATTAGATGGTGCTCTGAGTCCCTGAATGAGGACCTGGTGAAGGCCAGGGGTCTGTTTTTTATAATGAGATTCAGATAAAAAATGCAAAGTATCAACCATAAAGGTATACCTCACAATAACTGGCACATGTGAGGTAAATTTGGGTGGCAGCGAGCAAGCAGAAAGAGGTTGCTGCTCCATCCCCTTCAAGTAGCCAGGAAAGAAGCAGGAGAAACACCCTTTTCCTTAAGCAAGCAGGAAAACAGAAAAGCAATAAGATACATCTTTGTCCTTTTTAACCGGCAGGTAGATATTATGTTGAATGAATTCAGGGAACTACCAGCTCTCACACTAATCATCATTTAGAGAAGTGTTCTGATATTTGCTTCAGGACATTGCAGCAGTATGTGGCAAGGCCATGGTACAATGATGCAGCACAAATATCAAACTGCAGCATCTGGCCCTCTGAAGTGCATCTGATGATCAGGTGATTCTCTTGCTCTTCAGGGCTGAGTATGAGCAATCCGGACAACGAAAGCCACTCAGCAATACAGCAAACAGTAGCTTTTATCTTCTACAGTATATGTCATAGAAACTGTGTCCCCAAATACTTTTTGTGAATAAAAAATGAAATGACTGTTAGATAATAAGCACCAGGAGAAGAGTCAAACTGCTGGGTTTGACAGGGGCAAAAATTGAGATTTGAAAAGAGACCATCTATGAAATGGACAGATCAGATATAGGAAGGCTGTTCCATGTGAAAGGAGCTGCAAAGAGAAAAACTTTTTTTAGAGCTGCCTAGATTGTTAGGAAAAAGATAAACAAGTGAGTGCTAGCTGAAGGGAGAGAGGAGGACAGCAGATGATGATCATATACAACCGATGAGTCCACATAAAGCATAAAAACAGAATGGGGAGCCAATGGAGCTGTGAAGAGAAGAAATGATCATTATGCCTCTTCCTATGTGACAGAAGGAGAAGAGGGGAAGTAGCTTTTCAGCAAACAATACTATAAAACACCCGAGACAGTCACACCATAGACTCAAACTCAATATTCCTAATAGTGATTCTCAATATGCATATACCAGCTTGTATGAAAATTGTGCCTGTTGAAAGAATGCACTCAAAATGACATTATCATTTGTCATACTTATATGAGCCCATGTATTGTACATACACCAATAAAGCAGAAAGAATGCATGTTCAACTATTTAGGTTGAAGCAACATTTTCTAGCACTAGCTGTAGCTTGTGTATTTTCAGTCTTATTAGCATGAAACCCTAGGTTGCTCTCTTTCTGAATTTTGAATTAGTATTGCTGGCTCTGCTTGACAATGCCTGATGTTTATGCTGCAGGCATTATGCAAATAACAGTAATGAAGCTACATTAGGACCTAAGCTCCACTTTATGATGTGCTGCAGAGGGGAGCAAGAGAATAGTAACTGCACTCAAATGGGCCTGAATTTTGGAAAAAAAATAGAGGGCAGAGTATACAGAACATAGCCTCTTGCAAACTGGCAGAAAACCTTGTACATAAAAATATGCACTCAAAGTTCTATGAAGAATTGCATTTGTAATAAGTAATTTTCAAACCAGCAAGCAGCAGCACAAGATGGTATACTTTACTTAGAAGCAGCATAATTTGTCATAGAGATCTCTGAATGTGTAGCTTCTTTCCTGTTCCATGCACTTAGGGTTACTAAGCAGCGGCATATCAGATACTGGGACATATAGACAATACACATCACATCACCCATGTACATGTGATCTCTTTTGATATCTCAAAGAACCATGTGACAAATAATCACCTCACTTGCCTTTCTGTACATTAATCCCTAATTCCAAATACCTTTGCTACTCAAACTAGGTATCACTGGGGAAAAAAATGGACCAGATTGTTCTTACCCTCAATATGTGGAATATGCCCCCAAATGGTCCTTTTAGAGTTTCAGGATTGATTGAATTAAGTCTTGTGATAACAGCTATTTTTATTCAAAGAAGTCCAGAATCCAATATTTCAAACAGTCTGTTAGAAGTTGTTACATAGATACTTGCTATAGTATTTAGTATAGTCTGCTGGAAGTTGCTAGATACTTGCTATAACAATGGCTATATCTTGGTATATACTTTTCAATGAAGGTGTAATTTTAAGCAGGCCAAAAATGTAGATATCACAGCCTAGCATCTTGCTATACTTGCTGTGTCTGAGGGATTTCTAAAAGGTATTGATACTTTCTAAGTCGAAAGCAAATGCTTAAAACACTCTGCTGTAAAGTTAATACAGAGCTGATGGGATATTTCTGAGACACCAGGTGCATCTACATATGCACATTAATGCGCAGTAGATGTAAAAAAAAAGTTAACATTACGCTAATGTGCAGTAGATAATCTACCGCACATTAAGCATCACATTGGAGATACTAAATTTAATGCTCATTAGAAAAGGTGCATTAATGTATGTATAGACGCGCCCACCTTGTTTTAAGAAGAATTTAATTGGCATCATATTTTCTTTCACACGTCACATTTTACTATATATCTAGCAAGAGAGTCATGGTCCATTAACTTTCTTATCTTGCTCAAAAGGAAAATTTCAGTAGGTAGAAGTAGACTGGTATCAAGGTCATTATTATTACTAATTCTTTATTATTAATAGCATTTATGGTTCTTTTTATCTTAAAAGCCCTGTACTAATATTACTTTATTAATATGCCCAATACCCCTTCGAGGCCAGTAATATTATCCCCATTACAGAAGAAACAGCAAAAAGGTGATGGAAATTGCCAAACAATATAGCTGGGGCCAAGTGTCAAAGGCAGGACTAGACCGCTGTAGTTCCTCATTTCCACTCTGAGGCACAACTGTACCCCAGGTGTTTCTATAAAAAGCAAATTAGACAACGTATGCCATATCAGGTGCCCACATTTGATTTTTTATGGACTCAAAGTGTGGAAGAAGTTGTCAGAGGTTTTTTGTTTGTCTTTTTACTCCTATTAATGTTTTTCTCTGTAGTGATGTAGCAAAACCCGTGTTTTGTTTTTTATTTTAAAATGCATTCCCTCCCCTTCCGCAACCATTTCTGACTTTTTCTCTCCCTCTCTAATCCCTATATATAAGTACGCTAGATATAGGATAAGTTTTAACATTTTATTTTAGGTAGTAAGTTTTATTTTTCCCTCCCCTCTTTGCAAATAAGTGCCCTGATATTTTGATATAGATATCCACCATTTTATAAGTGATAATTATTATGTTTGTATTGATTTTTTACTGTGTTTATATTGTGTGATTACTTTTTTAGGCCTACCTATGTAAGTTTGCATAAGTCATGTCATTTCCATCTTGTATCTCCTGACCCATGACTCATACCTACCCCTCCTATGTAACTTGGTTCCTGAATGAATGGAGATGAATGACAGTGCTTGAGAGACAATGGCAGGAGGTCTAAAAATAGCTCCGTCTGAATGACCAAACCATCAAAAGCAATACCTGGACCAATGACCCAGCCCTTGGAACCACTCTCAGCATTCAAGAAACAAAAGATGAGGTAACCCAATTTTGTGCCAAGCTGCACATGCTCAGTAAGAACACCTGGAGCCCTCTGGAACAGGACTGACATTGCCTGGCCAGGCCCTCCCCATAGGTGATCAGAGGCAGTCTGCCCCATAAACACGGGTAGTGAAAACTGACTCCTTGGGACGCCCTCTCCATCTGGACCAGCACCATGCCATACCACCTATCCACCCAGAGGACCTGCCAGCGACCCCCCTCTGGACGACACCTACTGGACAAGAACCCCTTTCCAGCCTGGATAGGTAGCTATCACCCCCTACCCACTCTTCAACTAAGGACTTCGACTCTGCTTCTCTTCCCTACCTGGACTACAGTCCTTCCACTGAGTCTCTTTCTTCTGCTGCTATTGTGAGAGCTTGTGTGTGTGCTTGTATGTATGTGTGTGTGAACCAATAACTTCATGGGGCTGTGTAATGTGTTGTCTGCTTAATAAATCTGTTATTTTGAAACCCTGAGTTGGGTTTCTGTCTGTTTCCTGACTGTTTCCTCCTTGCCACCACTTATCTACTCCCCAATCTCTAAGCTGTCAGCCTGTTTCCAGCCCCAAGCTCCCAGGTTTCTACCTCTCTCTCTCTTTCCTGGCTGTCTCCTCCTTGCCAACACTTATCTGCTTGTGCCCCCAATATC